CTGGTGATAAGACATGATGGCGGCAAACTGGACAACCCATAGCACAATGGTGGTAGCTGTGTACATAAGTAGGGAGGTGGGCGGGGGACTGTCAACGGGGAAACCACCTCTCTCTACCCCCCTCCCTGTGAGGACTGGACGGAGAGAACGGAGAGGACACTGGGTGTCGGCCGACAGAAAGGGGACTGACCACTGACCACTGACCAGGGCACTGTGGTGGGAGGGAGAGGGGAGGGGGTGAGTCGAACCAACAGGAGGCGCAAAGTTGAGGAGGCTGGGGTCGAGGGTAGAGCTGAGATTGGGAGAAGAGGAGGGGAGGAAGATTAAATCTCTCTCTCTCTCTCTCTCTCTCTCTCTCTCTCTCTCTCTCTCTCTCTCTCTCTCTCTCTCTCTCTTTCTCAGTTATATTCTTGTAAACTTAACCCTCTCTATATTTCTACATCGGTACACGAGCCAGCAGGCACGTAAGGATAGAGCCTCTCTCTGACTCTCTCAGCTGGAAGGTTCATACATCGCACCCTCAGAATTACAAGGTTCTATTTAACATTCTTGGCTGTTTTGAATTACTAAAACGATGAGGTCAGAGACCAAAAGTTCTATCTGCTCCATCAAAATCGTAAGATTATTGGAAGTTGCTATAAAAAAATTCAAAGAAGTGCATAAAAAAAACTTGAAATGATATGAAACTCAAGATCTTTGACGTCAAATTCCACAAAAACTAGCTACTGAGATGACATAACTTCGTAATTCTGAGGTAGTGACATTACCTACAAGCCAGAGGGCAGCCAGATTAGAAATAAAGATCATCCAGTGCATTAACTTTCGTCATGGTCCCCGAGAAAGAGGTTCAGGCCTTCACATATTTTGTTCGTCTCTTTGCTATGTAAAAGAGAAGTGCGGGTCCAATTCGCATGAGGGAAAGTCACCTTCGTGAGAATCTGATAGAACTCTCTCTGCCCACGAAGTAACCCGCCTTCTGAGTAAATAAATCGTATCACTGAGGACTCAAAATGCATGTATATAACAATCAGTCAATCGATAAAGTAGCGAATATCACTGGAAGATTTCTGGGTCACATGAAATAATAGAACCTGTCCGTTCTAATAATTTGGTAACACCCTAAATAGTCCCTCCTTGCTGAATGTAAGGAGTATCATCAGTCTCACAAGTTCAAATTCGGGAATTCAAGATGTCACGAACTGGAAAGTGATAAATGTATTCATGATACCTTTTTTCATTATACGATATCAACATCAGATCACAGTTTAGAGTAGCTGGTGCTAATGTCTAGGTACTGTCTGTATCATTGCGATTGTATTTAGGAGGTATCAAAACACGGGTCACTTTACATGAGTTTCTGGTAGGAGTCAATGGCATTGGGCGAATTATTAAGATGAAGTCCTGGAAGTTGATGTATTGGGCCCTTTCCATAAAAAGTACCTCAAGGTCATTTTCGAATCTGTGGACGAACCTTAGTTTTTTGTGTAAGTTTGGATTAAAATTACCCTTCAACACTGTACACGAGTACTTATTTAAGAGGCCAGACCTCCGAAATAAACGTCCATCTCTCATAAGGATCAAACCAAGTAAGTGGATGGTATTGAAAACTCTTAGTACAGCCATGATTCAAGAATGTAATGTTAGAGATTAGAACCAGGCTCTTCAACATTGTGGTCGAGTATTGTACCATTGGAGGATTGTGAACTGGTGTCTCGTAGTATCTCTCAACTAACCTCCATTTAAAATCAGCTGGAACAATGAGCTTAAAACACTCGCTAAGCCTCCCAGATCCAGAACAAATTCTAACTGGTCACTCGCGCTTTAGTCCTGTATTGGGGGGTTGTATGACATCATCAAGTAAACGAATTGTCAAAATCATCACCAGACCCGTCAACGGAATAATCGTAACTGTAAAAACCATTAAGAACATCATCCGCTCCCCTAGAGCTCTCTGTATCATCATTTGCCTTAGGTTTCTTCTTCTTTCTTCTTCGTCGAGACGCTGCCGTCGTTTTCGATAGCTTTGAGGACGCCACGTCACTCCCTGGGGGAGGGGGAGGGAGGGTATAGCCTGCTGATGGAGGCTTCATTGACGTCACGGGCGATGGCAAGTCAACGGCAGAAGTCAGGTGAGCAAGAATCACAGACGATGATGAGGAAAGTGAAGGGGGGAAAGTCGTTGTTGGTGTTGATGGCGGTAGTGATGATGATGATGATGATGATGATGATGATGATGATGATGATGATGATGATGATGATGATGATGATGATGATGATGATGATGATGAGTGAACTGGCGGTGGTGATGACGATGATGAAGACCATGACGGATTGTGGGGTTCCGTCGGAGATGGTGAAGAGTGTGTGGGCGAAACCAAACCCTTAACCTCCGAATGGCCTCCCTCCTCTCCTCCTCCTCCTCCTTCACCTCCTCCACCTCCTCCTATCGCTTTGAGCTTTGCACTCGGGGTAACGTCAGCCCTTGGTGGCGGCCTCGTTTGATGAGGGTAGCGTCTGAAGCTCTCGTGCCAACCAGAGCTGACGGCGTGTTTGGTGGGACCTCGGCGAGTGCTCATCGCCGGTTGGTATCCCCGACGTCTAGACGTAGTTGGCTTCTCACGGACCCTCTCGTCGTCATCGTCGTCGTCATCATCGTCGTCTGTCACAGTGGACGGGGTGAGGGCCGTTGGGTTCTCTTCTCCGACTTCACGAGAGCTAGTCGGCGAAGTAGTTAAGTCTTTAGAACGAGTTTGCTGATTTTGTTGTTGTTGCTGTTGTTGTCGTTTATTCTGTTGTTGTTGTTGTTGTTGTTGCTGTTGTTGCTGTTGTTGTTGTCGCTGTTTTTGTTGCTGTATTTGCCGTTGCTTTTGAGAATATCCGTCTGCCTTAGAGTCAGTATCTCCTTTTGGCACAACGTCAGCATTTTCAGATTGGGCATCTTTCTTCCCTTCAGAAACGTTTGACCCAGCTTTTGACCCAGACTTGGATGGGTATAAGTCTTTTTGCTGCGGAGGCTCTGCTCTTCTGCTCTCAGGTTTCTTCGGGAGGTTCTTGTTATTGGGTAGATTGAGGGTGGCACTTTCAGGGTAGTAGTTGAAATTGCTCGGCTGCCTCAAGACGTGACGCAGGTGCTTTCGATACTGGCGTCGGTCTTCCTCCCGTTCGAATAAAAACTTGGGCAGGGCGTACTTGTCAGACACGGGACAATACCCAGTCTTTACGCTGAACTCGCTCTCCGAGCACTTGGCTTTGTAGCAGTTGCCGTTCTTGATGCAGCTGTGGAAACAGGAGGAAGGGGGGAGGGGTAAAAGGTAAAGGGTTACGGTTTCAGAACAGGCGAAGTCGGTTCATGTTGTGGGGGTAGATGGGTGACTGAAGCGACGAAAAAAGGGTTTGGGTTGAGTTTCAGTTGTTTTTTTTAAATAGATTTAAAAAATAAGAAGCACATCGACTCAGTGATTGTCATTATCAATGACTGTTATTTAGTTCTGCTAAAAAGACAGACAGACAGACAAAAACTACAGAGAGAATGTAAAGAAGTAGGATCTACCAGTGGCGGCTCCCTCCAACAACCAGCACGAAAAGAAGGACGGAAGGACGAACAGACAGATGGATGAAAGAGGGATGAGAATCTTTAACATAGGAAACACAGGCTAACACATAGAATGCGTCATAGCGGGGATGAATAGATGGACAGATGGATGGATGGATGGATGGAAGGATGGATGGATGGATGGATGGAAGGATGGATTGATGGATGGATGGATGGATGGATGGATAGATGGATGGATGGACGGATGGATGGATGGATGGATGGATGGATGGATGGATGGATGGATGGATGGATGGATGGATGGATGGATGGACCGACGGAAGGAAGGAAGGAGGAAGGAAGAATGGAATGATGGATGGATAAACGAATGAATAGATGAAAGGCTGAGTAAGTGAAATAATGGATACATGGACGAATGAACGGATCAAATGCTCAGAAAATGAAAGGAAGGAGGACAGATGTTGTAGTTGTTGATCCAGAAAGGAAGGATGATTGGCGTTCTTGTTATCAGTCCAGAAAGGACCGAAAGGAAAAACACAGATGAGCTGACAGAGCGAACTTTCAAATTGCATTGATCAATATGTGGTCACTTACACTAGGCCAGCCTGTGAGAGCTGGATCACGCCCTCTTTGATGGCCTCACACGTGATCTTTTGGCCCGGGTCCGGCACGCGACAGTCACACGAGCAGCCTGACGCGTCTCGCACCAGTCGGAACGGAGCTGGACACTTCTTGCTGCAGCTGGAAAATGGCGGGAGAGAGAGACAATATTTGTTCCAGGTTGTTATTTTTTCCGGTGTCTTACGGCGCTCACAACTACATTAGGCCGCATGAGCGCGCGGAGCGCATTAACAGTTTGGTAGGAACTAAATTTGAATGCCCGGGTGTTGGCCGAAGCCCCTTCTCATCGATTATAGGACCATCAAGGGATCTTTAACGTGAGCAGCTTGCACACGGGACCTCCAAGATTTTTTCACCCTTACCCGAGAAGACTGAAAATGCTTTATATGTCCCGCCCACTTATATGACCGTATACAGTTGCGAGCGCCGCAAAACACCCACGAAAAAACAAGACAAAAAGAAAAGAAATATTGTGCTGTTTTTAAAAAATAGTTTCAACGCAAGACGGCTCTCGCGACGCCCTTCTTTTTAATTTAAGGGAGGTAATCCTAATAATATATGAATACTTTTGTCTTTGAAACTTAAAGAAAGAATGATGTCCCTTACTTATGAAAGCTGTCGCTGTTCATGTGAGGAACTTTAGTTGGCATTATTTGGAACAAGCCTCTGTAACGGTCGTCTTTCCTTTTTTGAAGGCTCTGAGGTTATGTAAGCTATATTTAACCCCCAAAAAATATGAGTATGTAGTTTGATATTTTAAAAAGACTATGTGTGTGTGTGTGTGTGTGTGTGTGTGTGTGTGTGTGTGTGTGTGTGTGT